TATTGACCTGAAAAATGACTATGTTCGAAAAACGCAAATGGAAAATTCTCCGGACATCTTATCAATCCACGTGCCAAGCCTTTAAATTCACTAGCTCACATGGCCCTGACTTCTGTAACACGGAGGCGGCCGTGGTAGTGGTTATCACATTTGGGGAAAATGAGTGTCCACAAAACAGCACATTTCCTTTGAACATGTTGGGAGAAAGCATGAGTCACGCCAGAATGCGGCAAAGTACCATCTCAGCCAAGACTGCCTTTCCACCTTGAGTATCAGCATACACATGCTGGTATGCAGTACTGCTAGATAAAATGACATTTCATTGACAAAACCCCTGTGTTTCTAGGACTGGTTTGACACACCTCTACCCGTGGAAGTCGTAAGATTGACTTTCAAGGGCAATAAAGCGCACAAAGTCCACCCGTTGGGCACTGATAATCCCACACCCGTCCGCCTGCCGCCAGCACCGGCGGTACGTCCGCCTGCCGCCAGCGCTGGCGGGGCGTCCGCCTGCCGCCAGCACTGGCGACGCGTCCGCCTGCCGCCAGCATTGGCGGGACGTTCGCCTGCCGCCAGCACTGGCGGCGCGTCCGCCTGGCAGCGCGGCCATGGCGCACGGGCCGAGGCAGTCGGCTGGCGCAGCGCCCCGCTCACCCAGGGACAGTGATGGTCCATCTTGAGCACGCACTCGCCGCACACCGAGCAGTGGTGGCACCGGTCCGGTTTGATCAGACGGCACCGCTCGCAGTAGCGCAGCGCTGCCGGCATCATGGGCCGACGGTCACCTCTGGCTCAGAGAACACGGTCACATCCCGCTCAGAGAACACCGGCACCCGGAGAGGACGGTCACCTCTGGCTCAGAGAACACTGTCACCTCTGATCCAGAGAACACCGGCACCCGGAGAGAACGGTCACATCCCGGTCAGAGAACACAGCCCCCCGGAGAGGACGGTCACATCTGATCCAGAGAACACCGGCACCCGGAGAGGACGGTCACATCTGGCTCCGAGAACACCGGCCCCCCCAGCCAATATGTGACACGCTCCGCTCCTCTTGATACAATTAGCGATCAACGACAAGCGAACACCAGTTCGACGGTGGACAGTTTGGGCCGGGAGGGCCGGCCAGTTACAAAGGCGAGTGCGGCAAGCTCGGCACAGCTAGCGACGAGGCCAACACAGCGATTGGCGACTTCTGGTTACCTCCAAGTGAGGGGTACCAGCTGTGATGTCACGCCGCACGGTCTCCGGTCATTTCTCCCTCGGGCGTTCGACAATCACATTCTCCCCAGTGACACAGAAGGGGCAGCCCACCGTTCACGCAACAGAAGGGACTCAAGCATGCACTCAGCGCGCCCACTTTCTAGTCACTATGGTGCGGTTGCTCCGGGACGGACAGCACGTGGCAGCCCGCGCCGCCCGGGCCCCGTTCGGCCGGGTGACATCACACGGATAACACCACTCACTGCCGGACATGGTGCGGTTGTAGGTGGGCAGGCAGCCGTCGGCGGCGTGCTTGTCCAGGATCTGGATCTGCAGGCTGCTATCCTCTGTCGCCTCGAACCGCTCCAGGTCGGCCGGGCTCAGGCGGAACTGTTGAACAACGCCACCGGCCCCGGTCAGACTGCGCAGCTGACAGCAGCGCTGGACCGGCCACCCGGCCTCCCCGGCCTCACAGCCGCGCCCAGCGCGGCCACACCGCCACACGCGCGCGCACGCATGCAAGTACGTATCGCACGCGCACGCACGCACGCAAACACATATGCATGGCTAGGCTGTTTGAGAAATTCTGGGGTGGATATGGCATGAACCGATAACAGCCAGTAATGAAAAAAACGCCCCGTTTACAATTTGTTGATTCATTGAGGGTCGAACAAGATATTCACTGTGTAAGTCCCGGTGGGCGCCACGATGCGTCCAAAATAGAGATGCAAGGAGCTCCACAGCGATATGTCCGGTTAAGTCCATACGTCACTGGTAAGACACCACCTGGGGGTCGACATTGTGACACGCAAACCGGCGCCGGCCAGCAGCGGGTGAAGGGACGCTGCATGCCATCCGCACCGCGGTAGAGCCCTCCCGCGAAGAACGGGCCCCCGCTCGGTTTGACCCAGCCGGTCACGGTCTGGCCGGCACGTCACACAACGGATCGTTCGTGCCCCTCCAGGAGTCGAATCAAGCCGGCGCCGCCACACGCTCGAGCCCGCCCAGAGAGCAGTGCGCGAGTCGCCGTCTGGCGCCCGGCGGGGCGCATCCATCATACCCGAGCGTCGCCGATGGCGGTGCCGACGCGGGGCGTCCCACCGCGGGCACTGGCCACTAGTGTGAGGGCTTAACCAGCCCAAGCCTGCTGCTGTCGCTGTCAGACAGGCTGCCAGCCACCAATGACTGCAGCGTGCTGTATGCTCGTTGGAGGAGGTGGTACCAAACAAATGGATGTGTCACAGCCCACCACCAATTGATATCAGCCCTACTGTCAGCTTTGGAGCACACCAGGAAAATAGGATGTGGGGTGGTCACTATTCAGCTAATTGCCTGTGATGCAGCCTTCATATATGCATGCATTGCATGTACTAATCATGTTAACCAAACACTGCTTTTCATATCATTTTATGCCAAACCATGTACACAATTCATAAAATCAGTAAGACTTGTGTAAGATGAAACCCTTTTATGGCATAGTGCCTACAACACAATCTATCTAAACACAATGGACCATCCCTTGCTTAAAACTAAAAGCATTCACCAGAATGCATGATCAGTAATTACCTGTTTAGGTACTCTTCCTATTGGTGTCATCACAGTCTGGTAGTAAGCCCAGAGAAATAGCAGCAACAAGATGTGGTAGAGCATCAGATACACCACCTTTTCTGCATAGCTCTCCACAGTTACTGGAAAATGAAGTGGAGACATCGATGCTTTATCAGGACAGGCATGTTGTATTCAATACAGCATAATACCAATATTTGGCATCATGTCAATGTAAAGGGAACAACACATGCTACACCATACCAGCTGGGCATAGGTCATCAAATGTAATGTGCACATAAATACAAGTACACTGATTTTCACACAAGTATCAGCACCAATAAAAACTACAAGAACACTTAAAATGTGATGGTTGTCTTACCTAGGCAAAGTTCAACCACATATGCATAATAAGACCAGCACACTACTGCCAGGATAAAGATCACTGGAATCCACTTGGTGATGGCGATGCACACACCGCATGGCTTCCTTGCAATGGTCACAATGTTACTCATGAGGGGGCTTGCTGCCATGTCATCCTGCAGTGCAATGCACAATGTCAGATTCATTTTCCATGGAGTCAGTTGATAAAAATCACAAAACTGAGCTCTAAATGCAGGCAAACATGGTCACTTTTCTACATTTCATGTTCGTTATCCAAACACTGAAGGAAATAGCCGTAACAGAAATTTTTCAAATCCACTTTTCACTGACAGTTAAGAGTTCCATATTTTTCTTCACATCATTATCATTGTGACACAGTGGATCTATTGAAATTCAGACGTGAGTCAGACTCTCTGTTAGCGTGATCCCGCCAGCATGCTAGCTAGCAAAAGATGAATAAAAAGCGAATACGATAACTCCACATATCTTCGATCACTCTGAGTGGTATGCAGGTATCAGTTATTAGTATCAGCATATAAGTGATTCTTTTCAGTCGCATGAACAAACATTCCATGTTACCAGACAAACATAACCCGCCGCCCCCTATCGTGCACCTCAACAGCCCCCTCCCACACACCTTTGCCGACAATTTGCCTCCCTGTTCGTGGTTTGGGCAGCTTGGAGCAAGACGGTGTACATTGGATGGAATCATCCCCACGACGCGCTTCTCAGCAGGATCCCCATGTGACGTCACTGAGGGTACACCTTTTACGCCAGAGAGCGGCCGCACGTGTGGTAACGAACATCAGAGATTGCATGTATTACAGCATGTTTGGTCGGTGGAATGATCTATAAGATCAAAGTAAACATGAATGCAAGAGAAACTTCACACCTTGCACAATTTTGGATGTAGTTCAAGGACCGAAGGGGTAATATAGGACCCACGAAACAACCTGTTCGAGGACGATCCGTCGCGTCTAATGCCAAGATAAGCGCTTGGCGTAAGACTTGAATCATGAATTCGGTAGCACCAGATGAACCCAAAACTGCACTCCGGGGTTACCACTTTAGTTTGTGCACCAGAATGCCGCTCTCCGGGTCAACGCGTCCTCAAAAGTGTTAAGTACGTATCCTTGCTAAAAGGGGATGGTGTTCAGTACCGATTCGCACTAAAATCCGTGGAGTGTAGTATGCACTGATATTAGGCAGCGCAGTCCGGCAACCCAAGGCCAAGAGCTGCATAATGTCGAATGGGCTATGTGATAAGAGTAAGCAAGAAATGATTCCCCGATTGCCCTAATATACCCCTAGACCATTTCCGAGCTGAGTCATTGGCCACGACTATTTAACCGTCAGAAATTGCAAAACTTGCCAAAAATCGTCCTATGTCACGGGAAAATCTACTATCTTGAACTGAAATGGCACGCTGCATTTACGTCTCCCGGGGCTCATGGCTTAACAACCCCATTAGGGCAGGCCAACCCTGCATTCACCCGGACAACGCCCCTCCTAACGCTAGAGGATGTGCAGTCTAACTTTTCAATGCGCGTCGTAGGAAGCTGCGACCCTATCTCTCTGTCGGGGACAGGCTGGAAGCGCATCTCAACAATAATTTTGTGGCTCTGGTGCAAACCACCGCCATGTGCCGACTGAAAATGCTTTGTTGAATGTGCTTGGTCGAAAAAGTTCAGCTTATGGATACGTTTATGTTAAAACCAACTCACAAAGAACAGCGTTTTCACGCCGCCGCAGCGTTGGTGCCGCGGCATATGATTTATTCCCATGTGGACGTCACAGTGCGGCCTACCCAGAGTGCAGTAGCGCGGGTACTGACCGCATTGAGGGACGTCATCCTGGGACGTCACCGCATGTGCAGTCTGGGCGTCGAGGTGGGGATTACTGGGGGCCCGCTGTCTGCGAAGCACGTTGACAGGGACATTGACGGTGAGAATAACCTATGACCATCTTAGCCTATTTAGGACCTTTTGTGTTACTATAGGGAAGGTATTTGTATGGTTTAATGTTGATATTTCAAGCCTTGTTCAATTCAGTTTCAGATGAAGCATGGTGACTGCATATTACCACGGTTCGGTACAATGTAGCTCATAAAATACCACCTATGTTAATGCTTTTTCTTATAGGCTTAGCCTCCCCATGGTCTCATGTTATCTAGCTTCATCATACCTGTTGGTTTAGTTTGCTGTGCATTTGATTTTGCATGAGTTCATGTTGTGCCAACTACCATATGGTATTTATGAGCTCCCCATTGGTCATTTGTTGCCAGTTTTGTATGGTTTTAGGGGTGCAGCAGATCATTGTCGGACATGAAGGGCAGGTTTGGGAAATTTTGGACAGAAGTTGCCTAATGGGGTAGGCTGTGTTGGTACCCTCCAAGGGTACTATTTGGTATGTAAGCCTGCTGGTCATCCAGATTATCTGCTCCTGCCCCAAGAACCAAGCAGAGAAGTTGGCTGCCCCATTTGGGCAGGAGCAGACCTGCCACAAATGCCTTAAGGGGCCAGGATTTGGTGGTCTGCCACCTTTTGCAGACTAGCATCATTGCATGCAATTCTGTGCCCTGTATGAAGATGCAGCCCATGCATGCATTATGCAGGGGAATATGCTATGCTCACTAATACATAAAAGCTCAGTGATGTGTTGGGATCTCCCTGCTAACCACATTGCCAGAATTTGATTTTTTATGACTGTGTTCAACTCCAGTACAGCATTGGTTGTTTAGCTTGCCCCCCACCCTTTCACCAGACAGCAATGTGGATGATTTCACATGCTCCACAATGCTGGGACACAACTGTTGGAGGGGGATGGGGTTGATCCTAGTTGGCAGATTGCCAGCTGGCATTTCCACTTCAGTTGGGCCAGACAATGCACTGGCTCATTCAAAAGGAAACAAAATTTGTGTAGAGCTGACTGGTATATAATTTCATGCTTCAACACCCTCAGCTTCAAATTTATTATCTATTCCTCCCTTCCTCAAATTGGCCATTTGTACAGAGCGGGTTGTGGTCAACCAAGCATGTAATTGCCTCAAAATGTTAATAGGGCTGGGTGGGTCAGAAGTCTGGATTTTGAGTCAAGAGTGATCAATGGCACCAGCAGATTGCTACAGAGATTGCTGGAGAACCAGATTCTAGTCCATCCATTCATGTTGACATCTTGACACCTTTCTGGATGCATTGGAGAATGCTGCAGTTTTATGCTCCATGCTGTGTTCCTATGCTGTGAATATGCTGCATGTTACAATGGTGGCATTGTCATAGGAGGATGTCAAAGAGAGCAAGATCATGGCTGTAGACTCAGACATTGCACAAATGTTATGGGGTCCTGTGGTGTCATGAAGTCCCACATCAGGCATTGGCCTGCCATCGCAGACAACAATGGACAAAGGGCACAGTGGACTGCATCAGCTTTATGGCATGTTAGATGGTCAGTGCCAGGCTCTGCTGTTGTCTTGGAATTGCACTGTCAGATGGTAGGGATCAGCACTGACAGAAAAAGCCATTAGCTCTTGAGATTCTCAACATGTCACTTTTAAAAGGGACCCTTTCTATAACAAAACTTTTTAAGAAAGATATGGGGCAGCCTTAGAAAAATTAGGCATGCTACTCATGCACATGGAGTTTATTCATTTTCTCCAGAGCTTAGAGAGTTTTGTCATTTTGAAGTCAAATATTTTGGAAAAAAACATGACAACTAACTAAATTCAGCTAATAAATGCCATCAAAGTCAAGCACAAACTTGATTCCTAGCCTATTTATGGCTAGCTGGCTGGCTGACATGATCAGCTGATAGCTGATGACCAATGCAGAGTTTTTGCTTTGCCTATTATGGAGTTCAAAATATCCTGGCATTTAAAATGCATTAAGAACATGATGCACAAGTATTGTAGGTGTCACAAATTTAATAACAGCTGGAAATGACATAATACAGTGTCAGTAGAGCATAAAATTATGGTCAAGATTTGTGCATAAAACTTCATTGGTGCACATCCTGCTGCTCTAAGGTTAGGACACCAAGGCCAACGTGGTGGCCCCTTAATGATCGGGGTGCCGGACAAGCTAACATATAGGAACTCGGTCAGGACATGGGGTCCTCCAAGCAAAGGGGAATTACTGAAGACCAATTTACATGAATTAATGCCACTGCGATCAAGAGTGCAGGTTAAGAGAAAGAGCCCCGACTTGTGTAGTGGACAACAATGTTGTGATTGGTGACAAATCCTCACAAATCTTGCCAGGAATTGTGGCCTTCTTGGCAACATCAAATCCTATGTGGATGGGGCTAGGGTGCCTTTGGGTCTGACTGCCACAAAGGCTGTACAAAAGAGAAGTGATGTGAACAGGCATATGGTGGAAATGCAGCGCATGTTATACCTCACTAGAATACTGACATGAGCCAAGCACAGACCCTTGATGCACATCACTACACATGCAGATAAGATCAGTGGGGTAGTACTAAAACCATAACAGGCTGCATCACAGCTGAGGGTTGTGGATTTGTATCTTTGGTACCATGTAACCGTTTCAACACGTTTTAATCATAAATCCCCAATGACAAAATCGAAATCCCTGAAGGGCAATAGGATGGTCTGTGTCACAGTGTAGTGGTGGAGAATGTCCTGCACCAGGTGTTTCTGGATTTTTCATTGTGATAGTTTGTTGGTAGGAAGCATCACAGCCACAAAACTGGACATTTTTCATTTTTCTGTGCTTGGTTTGATGGAATATCTCCTTTGAGATTATCATTTTTCCTGATTCTAGGAAACATTCAATTTTATTTTGTGTACCTTTTATTTTATACAGCATCTGTAATGGATTGTCTTGCCATTATATGTATTTGGTGCATTAGTGGTTTCACAAACCATTCAGTAATGATGGCACATGAAGAGTTACATGAAACCACCAAACATTAATGGTTGAATGCGTTGATTGTCACTTGAACTGTAGCATGTGTTACCTTAAGCATGTGCTGTGTTGTTGCCTGCTCTTGTGTGGACAGTGATTTTACTGTATTTCAGTTCAAGATGGTGCTGGACATCGACCTGTTTCGGGCGGAAAAGGGTGGCGACCCAGATCTGATCAGAAAATCGCAAAAGAATCGTTACAAAGATGTTACGCTGGTGGACAAGGTGGTGGATCACGACAACGCCTGGAGGAAACGTATGTGGGATGCACCAAGCTACCCAATCTGATGGCCTCAAGTGAAATGCTATGGTATCAGACAAATAGTAAATGGTTGAGCCCATCGTTCAATGCTTGGTCACTTGCGTGGCGGGGGTGTCAATATTTTTCGTACTTCAACCTCCCCGGCTCGGGGATCACTGCCTGCTGCCCATCCGCTTGCTCGAAATCAGCCAATCAGCGCAGAGCCGGGCCGCGGTCAGCCGAGCATCTCAGTGCCTCAGCGTGACATGTGCCGGGCAGGTCATGTCTGGGTTCAGGGTCAAAGGTCACGGATTAGCACGAACGGGTCGCGGGCCCAGGCCGCCGGAGAGTCAGGGTTTGGGTGGCACGGATTTATATTTAGGTCCGGAACACGCTATCGGTTGAATTCTGGAGTGCTGGTACGGTCAAAGGGGCCGTATGCACTCCCCCCCCCTCAGGGGCTTACGCGTGATACTGGGCGATGTCGCACCACCTTGGTCAAAATTCGGAGGGTTTCTAAAAAATATTCGATATTTGTCCCCTCCCCGACGAAAACGTCGGCTAATTTCCTGCATGAAATCCTGTCGTCCTTACTCAAACAGCTCATCAAAGTCCAAGCCATGTTTATTTATCAGTTGACAAATCTGCCATATATCATGTGCGGTGTCCGTAAGGTGTGAATGGAAGTCCATTTGGCACTGATTCGAACTTGCCAGCGATTGTCACTGTGTGTGTGCGTGTGCGTGTGCGTGTGCGTGTGCGTGTGCGTGTGCGTGTGCGTGCGTGTGCGTGTGTGTGTGGTGCGTGTGTGTGTGCGTGTGCGTGTGCGTGTGCGTGTGCGTGTGTATCAGGACCAATAAGTGAGGAAAAGGCTGCTGCTGGAATGCTTTTACCATGGCCATGCACTTCCTTGCTTGTGTGTGCTTGCTATATACTTGCTATGTACCTCCACCCTGGGTGTTAATCATGAATGTCGTTTTTTCAAGATCGCTTCGACGCTGACAACTGGAACAAGCTGAAAAATGCGTGTTCCAAAGTCATCGGAGAGAAAATGAAGGTTTGTTGTTAAAGAATATTTATCTCTCTGGTTTCTTATTTGCGTCATCGTACGACAGTCAGTTTTCTTATTTCCCAGGGCTTGGTTTTAGCTGCTGTGGGGCCAACATTCGCTCTTGAAGATTGGAATGGGTGTTTTGCTTGTACTCAGTCAAGCATTGGTGCATTTCGTTGAATGTGGTTATCTCCATTTTCTCAAGATCTCCCCCCCCCCCCCCATTTAGTGTTTGCTTGCTCAGGTAATGTCTATGCGATGTCTACGTCATGTGATAGTTTCAGGCAATCAGCTGTTGTATCAGTTTGCTTGGGTATAAGGTGGGGGGGGGGGAGTTGGGGAGTTTGACACAGCATACTGGGCTATGTGCAACGTATATTATCGATGAAGGACGTTTCGTGATTTGCCATGCAGTGAGCTTTGCGCGCTGCAAATGCTGTCGTTCGAAGCTACGTGACCCTTACGATGCCACGTCTCACACTAATTCTGCTCTTGTCCCTTGGCAAACCGTAGCCACTGCTGAGGCTGCTCTGGCTTGATGAAGCCATTGGTATTGGTTGGTTGGGTTGGTTGGGTTGGGTTGGTTGGTGGGTTGGTTTGGTTGGGTTGGTTGGTGGTTGGTTGGTTGGTGGGTTGTTGGTTGGTTGGTTGGTTGGTTGGTTGGTTGGTTGGTTGGTTGGCTGGCTGGTTGGTTGGTTGATTGATTGATTGGTTGCTATTTTAGTGAGTCGGTTTGATTGCGGGCGAGAGTCGGTGATGCTCTCCCCTGTTGTGGGCCTACCCCGAATCCGTGATAGCCTTCCCTACCCGTTCCGCCGTCGCTGCCTGACTCGCCTGGGCCGTGCCCGCAGGCCCGGCCAAGACGGCAGGGCGCGTCAGCCGCCGCCCCGCCCCACCGGAAAGCCGGTGCCAGGTTACGCCCTGGCGATCACCGGGGCCACTTAGCCGTCGCGCCCGGCTCCGGTCACGTGTTGTTCCCATGGGATGTGTTCGGGCGCTGGTTCTCAGGCCCAGACATTCCCTAACACACGCTTGTCTCGATTAAAGGAAGTGTCCCAACCGTTGGGGCATGCTTTTTTTATATAAAAAACATACTCTAGTGAAACCGCATGACATATTTTGCCTAATTATAGCGATGGGAAGTGCCCACTGTAGCAGCGTGAAAACAACAAGGATTTCCATTTAATTATTTTCGCGGTCCGAATTAACGCTTTCAACGCTTTGTAACAGCACTACGCACTCACATCACTGCCGTTGCGACCATCGTCTCGTCATGACAACAACCGTGGACAGTTCCACTGGTGCGAATGAAAGAGCGCCTTGCGAATGGTCTAGCGGAAGGGCCTGTTACCAAGTAGGCTCTGTAGTGGAAAATTGAACCAGTGCTTCACATGGATCAAGTGATGCTGTCCCATTCCCAAAGCCAAAGTGCGCCTCGAAAAGAGCTACTGTGACAAACGCCATAGGGGATATGTCCAAGGCATAATGTAACGGTTCGTTGAATTGCGAGCTAATAGCTTTACGTTCGCACATCTTTTTGCCTTGGCAGTGTTTAAGCTTTTGCAACATTATTTAACAGACCTTTTGACACATTAGTGCGTTGTAAGCACTGCAGACCACACACGGTGAAATATGTCATAGTGATGAGCAGGGGGTCAAATTATATTTCTCTCGCACGGTCGGCTACTTCAAATGGAAAACTTTGAGCGGTTCAGAAGGGTTTAGAGGAAATTGTTTTTTCTGAGTTAATCTGCTCGTGTCTGATGCTACAATAAGTGAAATGTGCAAAAAAGGTGCAATGCCCCTTTTAACTAGATTACCTATTGTCTGGTATTTTGTCAGCTCTCGTTGAGCTTAAATCTCATGAATGGCTCGACTGGAAGGTGGTGTGTGATTGACTAGGGGCGGTTGTGCTGCTGATTTTCACATGTTTTTGGGATAGTCGTGTTGAATATCGCGCATGCCGTCTTCAGCCGTCGGCCAGAGTCTGTGCGAGCGCCCTCGGCGTCGTGCGCCCGGCCGCTGACAGTGGCCGTCTGGTGGCAGCGGCCGGAGGGCGGCGCCGCGGCTGCCCGACTTGGAGCGCCACCTCGCCGAGTTCTCGTACGTGGGCGGGCACGTGGCGTCGGCGGCCGACCGGCGCCTGCGCGCGCATCTGGCGGCGCCGCCGGCTCAGTTTCCGGCCGTACGGCGCTGGTGGCGCCACCTGGCCGCGCTGGAGGCCGAGGGCGCGCCGGCCGCCGACGGCCGCGCCGACCCGGCGCTGCTCGACAGGCTGGGACTGGCTGATCTGCAGGTGTGGCCGGCCGCGCACTGCGCACCACCCTCCTTCTTCTCCGCCTCCCACGTGTCCGCAGTGGTGCACGCTCCGGCGGAGAGCCGCGGATCGGTCTCCCCCCCCCCCCCCCGCCCCGCACGCTTCTGCCCTGACGACCCTCGCCCTGCATGGCAGCTGTTTGAATGGCTAGCAAGGTGACGACCAACGGCTGGCAATGCACTTCAAATCACCCAGCACCACTACACCTCTGAAACGGAGGCGTTGAGCGTTGAGAGGAAGTACTGAATCCGCCGTACTTCGGGTCAGGTGACCACTGCCCGGTACTGGGTGAATGTGTCGATGAGCCAGCAGACAGCCTGGGCTCTGCAGTTCGTCACTAGAACGGTGCATGATCCAACTAACGTTGCGTTCCGCCGGTTTTCAAAATGGTAGTTGCCGTGGTTTTGCGTTAGCGTATGACGCCGAGTGCGATGCTGATGTACTTTTTTACCGCTGTTGATACCCTTTTTGGCGACGTTGATGCATTTTTTAGCGATGCCATTGCACTTATTTAGCGATGTGTAGTACCTCTTTACCCATGTTCGGCACTTTTTAGTGATTTTGAAGCACTTTGTTTCCTACGAGATAAACGTTTAAATAACACATTTACGTGGCACAATGTTCCTTTGCTTTTTATTTACGTCGACGTGCTCGATTTCTGTGAAAATCATAATGTTCACCATTTGACTTTGTGATTTCCTTGCTACTCCGATGTGCCACGTATCGTGTTACGCATCTGCCGCAATAGCTTGAGTTCATCTGCAGCGAAAATTCGAGACAAGTCGCCTAGCAGAGTAAAAACATGTGCCTTTTTCGTGGATCACTATGCCTGCGATTGGACGCTAGTTGTGGTGTTTGGAGTCGAGTCCTGATGGCTTTCAGTCTCGCTCAACTGACGGCTGTGTTGCAGCCGGGAGGTGAAGTTCTGCATACTCGAACCAACCACGCTAGCCGTCTGGGTCATCACAAATTCACATAGCCATTCGCAACCGAGAATGATGGGGGGCAGGTCTCGAAACACGACCCACGGCTAGGACCTTTGAGAATCTGTCGATGGGGATACGGGACGTTGGATCGAAATGGGATAATGACATGTGTGTTTCTGCCCTTTTTCTTTTTGCAAATTTGCCCTAAGCAACCGTGCTGACCAGCGTGATGCCTCAGTCGGGTGGCCCGGTCCCGGATGTTGGGCACCGCCTCGCAGCCAACCGTGCTGACCGCGTGATTGTCTCAGTCGGGTGCCCGGCCCCGGATGTTCAGCGGCGCCCCGCAGTCCAGCCGTGCTGACCAGCATGATGCCTCAGTCGGGGCCCGGCCCCGGATGTTCAGCGGCGTCCCGCAGCCCTCACCGCTTGTGGGCTCGGCTGGGTCGCACTGTGGTCTGGTTCAGTTGGGGAGGCGGCTGCTTGCAGTTTTAGGCTGGCGCGGGTTGTGGTTGACGTGGTGCTCACTGCCCAAAGCGCCCGCTGAGCACGGCCGGGCCTCGCCGCTGGTGTGCTGGCTGGCTGGCGTGGAGTCCCCTGTCAGGCTGGTCCAGGCCCCGAACTGCTGCCACGGTTTTATTGTCCCATCGGCCTCAGTGACCCTGACAGTTGTTCCACCACCGTGAGCGGTGTTCCGGAAATGAGCGGGCTGCTTCTTACTTCTGCCGGATGTCCGCACGTTTGGCGTCCGGCGCCGGCGCCGCTGCCGGTGATGACCTGGCTTCTAAGAGCGGACGTGGGTCGGCCCGGCGGCCCGGCGGCGGTTGCCGCGCGCCCGCCGGACACGGCACTCGCTGTGCGGCCCTCGCCCCTGGACTGCGGTCGCCGTCCCCGTGCTGCGGTGGCGTCCGGTCGGCCCCCCTTCCGGGAAGGCCTTGTGTTTCGCCGATTCATCGGCCGAGTCATCGGACGCCCGTGAAGTCATCTCAGAGCGTGTCCTGGCCGTAGGCGGGGGGAGGGGGTAGGCAGGGCAGGGGGCGATGGAAGGGTTCATACCGCCTTTCTCCTCTTATTTTTGACAGGAGACCCTTCACATAAGCCTTTGGCGTTATCTGGTAAGAACTGCGCGGAGTCCGACTCCTGACTCACCCGGCTCACCAAACCGTCGCAGTCTAAGGTGGTGATGCAGGTGGCGGTGGTGATGCAGCTCGGGCCCAAGCATGCCGTGTCGATCGTTCCTACCAAGAAATGGTCAGCAAGGTCGTGGCATGGTGTGCGTGCATGTATGCACATCATGTGATCTTATTTGCTGACAATTTGCGACTTACGAGGTTTGGTTGTGGGACTCTCTCAACGGTCGCTGCTGCGCGCCGCGGGCCGGCCCACCCATCTCCACATTTGGAGCATGCGCTGCGCCCGAATTCTACTGACCGCCCTGCCCCTCAACCGCAGAAAAAAGGAGCCGGCCCGGCGACGACGAGACGCTGCCGGACGCTTGTGACGTCACAGACTGGCTCAGCGGACTGCCGACCAGCTGCGGCCGTTGAGCGTCACTCAGCTGAAGGTACGACGGTGGGCCGACCGGCCGATCAGCTGACCGGCAGGCCGGCTGCAGGACTGACGACGGACGGAATGTGGGCTAGGATCGCTTCCAGAATCGTGGGGCACGCACAGTCCACGGTCCTACCGTGCAGTGCCATGCTGGCCTCAATTTTCAGCTGGTGTCAGTGTTGGATTACTCAGCACCGTCATCGGTGTGCGGTGTTGCTCAGCCAGTGGGGCCGCCAACGGTATGTCCGGCCGCCGCGCCGTACTCTCGGTGGTCGGCGAATGCGTACGTCGCTCACCTGTCGCCTCGGTCTGGCGTCTGGCCGCCCGCGTCACCCAGAGCCGTCCGCTGGCACCTAACCTGACCTGACCTGGTCTGCCTGGCCATGGCCTGGCCTGGCCTGACCTGACCTGACCTGCCCGGCCTGGCTTGTCTGTACCTGTCGCCTCCATCAGAGGGTGCGCCAACTGCTGGATGACGAGATGCGAAGACGAACGCCGCCGTGGAGCAGAGCGTGCTGCAGCGCGACGCCGCGCTATCCAACATCGGCAACATCCTGCACGACTCCTGCATCATCAGCAACGACGAGGTCAGAAGCCAGCTGGCGTCACGTCCTGAGAGCAACGGCACGGGCTCCCGTATGGGACCCCGGTTTTCGTTTCCCGTCTGGCCGGCGTGGCTCCCAAGCTGGGTAGCGTGCTGAATGGCAGGGTGCACGATAAGCCGTGTTCCCCGCCCCTCCCCGAAAGAGAGAGAGATGGAGGGGAGAGAGGGAGAGAGGAGAGATGAGAGAGAGAGAGGGGAGAGAGAGCGAGAGAGAGAGGGGGAGAGAGAGAGGGAGAGAGAGCGAGAGGAGAGAGGGAGAGGAGAGAGAGAGAGGGAGAGAGAGGAGAGGAAGAGGGAGAGAAGAGGCGGGAGAGCGAGAGAGAGAGGGAGAGAGAGCGAGAGAGAGGAGAAGAGAGGAGCGAGAGAGAGGGAGAGAGAGCGAAGAGAGAGGGAGAGAGAGCGAGAGAGAGAGGGAGAGAGAGCGAGAGAGAGAGAGAGAGGGAGAGAGCGAGAGAGAGGGAGAGAGAGCGAGAGCGAGAGCGAGAGCGAGAGCGAGAGCGAGAGCGAGAGCGACCAGTCGCTGCGACGGCGGTGTCGGTCGCACTATCGGAGGAGGCTGGTTGCGCCTTTACTGTTTTCCTGCGCGGATCCAGGACGTGCATTCCTGCATTCCGGCGACTTTGTAGACGTCGCTGGTACCTCAGCATATCATTCGTGGATTATCTCGAAAATGTTCGGAAAGGTATGCTCGCAAAGGTACTTCTCGCTCTGCTTGTTTTGGTCCGGAATTAATGATTTTCCCCGCAAAACAAACTTTTCATGGGATGGATAGTAAAAGGAAAATTTCACATTTCTAAATTGTACACAATACTCCGAAAAATTCCGTTCGGGAGGCAACACGCTTTTTTGTTATAAAATAGCCGTTTACGAGGCCAGTAGTCGTTTAAGGAGGACACGCGACGGTGCCTGTGATTTTACCCATGTCGTGCGACAGACACACGGCCCAGTCACTACCTGTCCCCTGGAGCGACCGATCATTCTGAAATTCCCATGTGTCATCATGCATAGCCGGAATGCATCGTTTCAAAAGAAAACAGGTGTTCCTACCTTGAAGTGTGCCATTTCTTATGTTGACTTCGGGCTTGTGGAAACGGCTACATTTCCTCGAACATCGTTCTCGAGTGCTTTCCTTAAATGCCCCATCGGCAACATAAGGCTCTTGAAATTTGTAGCACTACGTAAAGCAGGTGTTAACTTTTAGTGCTCGGAATGGCCTGGACACCTATAAATTGTGCTCAGTGCTCTTACGAGAGAGGAGGATGGAAGGGGGTCGGGAGAGGCCTCAATGTAGTCTCCAGGCTGCAGGAGTTTTAAACTACCCCACTCCCTCTCTCTAGGCCATTCGAGTCTTGCTCCCCATTCCCCGGAGAGATATAGGGTTGTCGGATGGACCAACGTAAGTTATTTCCATCGTTAAGCATGAAGGACCACGAAAAAGTAATGCAAATCATAGTGTCCAGATCTTTCTTTGACAACCACTGCTGAGCAACGGTTAGAATCGTTATGTGCCGACGGCTTTCAGACCAGTTCCGTTGTCTGGGTTTGAAGGGTGCGTCAGCTGCAGTGGTGGTTTGCCACTGTCGCAAGGTCGTGCTTGGAGCGCCTCAACGCTATAGGAGACGTAAGCGGACAAAAAGTACGTCATGCGTGTTGCGGACGCTCCGTCGCAGGTCGGGAAAGTGTGCTGGCCGCCAAATGCATTTATGCTCTTATAAGGTCTGAAGACACGAAGGAGGGCGTCGATAATGTCTTTATGACGCCCGACGCGAGAGGTTACCACAGGCGGGATGACCATGCTGGCCGTGTTGATGGCACCTCTGAAGCCTGCCAAGGTGTCTATGAAATACAAAGTCACGGCAAGATGAAGCGTCAGGATAGAGAGAACGTGAGGTATTTTGGTGATCTGCACGTCCGACACAAGCACTGAAAATGAAACTAGATGAAATGATCTCTGTGTTACATAAATCAAGTAATATATAGGTACGAATTTTTAGGTACCTGCAAAATATAAGAGGAATTAGCTTGGCCTTAAAATGGAACGCATCTTTATTTGCCTGATGTCACCGACGGAAACCTCCGGAGTTGGTCATGTGGCAAGTTAGACTGACAGGCCAGAGGAAACACCGAAAAACCTGTGCACGTTAGTGGAATATCTTCATGCGCTGCTAGCGCCTAAATAACCTAATTGTATGAACTTAATTAAATTACAAACCTAAACTAAACGTAATAATCTAGCGCCAAATCAAGCCATTATTGTTGGGGAGAATATGAAAACACATATGCAAGCGGGGGTTGGTAAAGCGTAGCGTCGGATAATCTCTGGTGGTGAGGAAACAGCAGCATCTAGCTGAAATGGACTTGGTGTGGTTCCAACGCGATGGTGCCACACCGCTGACGATGGTGCCAAACCGCTGACGATGGTGCCACCCGCCAAGTGATATTTGTAACTTTTAAGCAAAATTTCGCTGACTGACCATGGAGAAGATGCCGCATAGTCAACGTCACCTGACGTGTCGCCGACTGCTCGTCACCCGTCACCTGACGTGTCGCCGACTGCGTCACCCCGTCACCTGACGTGTCGCCGACTGCTCGTCACCCCGTCACCTGACGTGTCGCCGACTGCTCGTCACCCCGTCACCTGACGTGTCGCCGACTGCTCGTCACCCCGTCACCTGACGTGTCGCCGACTGCTCGTCACCCCGTCACCTGACGTGTCGCCGACTGCTCGTCACCCCGTCACTGACGTGTCGCCGACTGCTCGTCACCCCGTCACCTGACGTGTCGCCGACTGCTCGTCACCCCGTCACCTGACGTGTCGCCGACTGCTCGTCACCCGTCACCTGACGTGTCGCCGACTGCTCGTACCCCGTCACCTGACGTGTCGCCGACTGCTCGTCACCCGTCACCTGACGTGTCGCCGATGCTCGTCACCCCGTCACCTGGGCGTCACCGACTGCTCGTCACCCGTCACCTGACGTGTCGCCGACTGCTCGTCACCCCGTCACCTGACGTGTCGCCGACTGCTCGTCACCCCGTCACCTGACGTGTCGCCGACTGCTCGTCCCCGTCACCTGACGTGTCGCCGACTGCTCGTCACCCCGTCACCTGACGTGTCGCCGACTGCTCGTCACCCCGTCACCTGACGTGTCGCGACTGCTCGTCACCCCGTCACTGACGTGTCGCCGACTGCTCGTCACCCCGTCACCTGACGTGTCGCCGACTGCTCGTCACCCCGTCACCTGACGTGTCGCCGACTGCTCGTCACCCCGTCACCTGACGTGTCGCCGACTGCTCGTCACCCCGTCACCTGACGTGTCGCCGACTGCTCGTCACCCCGTCACCTGACGTGTCGCCGACTGCTCGTCACCCCGTCACCTGACGTGTCGCCGACTGCTCGTCACCCCGTCACCTGACGTGTCGCCGACTGCTCGTCACCCCGTCACCTGACGTGTCGCCGACTGCTCGTCACCCGTCACCTGACGTGTCGCCGACTGCTCGTCACCCCGTCACCTGACGTGTCGCCGATGCTCCTCGCCCGTCACCTGACTTGGACCAGAGGCCGCAGTATCGACCTTTCCGAGAGTCGACTCGCCCCGAGGGATGAGTGTTTCCTCTGACCGGCCGCCCTCCCCCCGGCAGGAGAACAACGGTGTGGAGCGCACGTCGGGCGACTGCGCCGTCCGGCGGCGCTACTCGCACGTCGACCTGATCCACATGATCGACGGCATGGACGGCGAGCGGGGCGCGGCCGTGTCTGGCGCGCGCGGCTACTACCTGACCGGGCCGGCCGTCTTCCTGGAGCAGGCCATCGTCCAGCTGGCGCTGCGCATGCTGCTGGAGAAGGGCTTCAAGCCGCTTTACACGCCCTTCTTCATGCGCAAGGAGATCATGCAGGAGGTGGCCCAGCTCAGCCAGTTTGACGACGAGCTGTACAAGGTGAGCGGGTCGGGGACCGACTCCGGGCAGGTGGTCTCTGACGACCAGTTCGACGACGGGCTGTACAAGGCGAGCGGGTCGGAGACCGACCTCGGGTAAGTGGTCTCTGACGGCCAGTTTGACGACGAGCTGTATAGAATGAGAGCGAGAGCAGTGGCCGGTTCGGCTGGTGGCCTCTGACCAGGTGGCATTGGTGGGCGCTGTAGCTACTGAAGTAGCTACAGGTGAGGGAGGGAGGGGGGTTCCTTAGGAATTCTATGGACAGAGTGTGCAATATTAAAATGCATGCAACACACCCTTTACAGCCGAGTGGTCAATGAACCGTGAAGTCCCTGCAATACCCCGCAATCATCACCGTGCGTCTCAGCAGTGGGTGGTCGTGTGAGTCGGCCCGGGTGAGAGGGGCCTCCAGAGACGGTGCGCCCCCGCAGCCAGCGGAGCGGGGCCTCACGCCCGACCGGCGCCCTCAGGTGGTGGGCAAGGGCAGCGAGCGGGGCGACGACGCCTCGGTGGACGAGAAGTACCTGATCGCCACGTCGGAGCAGCCGATCGCCGCTTTCCACCGGGACGAGTGGATCCCGGAGGCGACGCTGCCCATCCGCTACGCCGGCCTCAGCACCTGCTTCCGCCAGGAGGTCGGCTCGCACGGCCGCGACACGCGCGGCATCTTCCGCGTGCACCAGTTCGAAAAGGTCAGCGGGGTCGGCTGGAGGCAGCCGATGGCGCGGGTGGGCGTGGGGTACCGCGGAGATCGGGCGCTGCTCCAGGCGCGCC